CCTTGGCACCAACCGGCCAGCAGGGTCCAGGAGACACCAGAGAGTCCTTGGCACCCAACGGCCAGCAGGGCCCATGATGCAGCCAGAAAGGACCATGGCACAGCCACCACTGCTGCAGCTCCCACCATCCATCCTCAGGACCACACCAGCGCCCCAAATCCTGCAGTCTTTTGTGCCACCCCAAACCTCCTCTCCTCAAGGTAGGAACCAACCCCAAGCCCTGCAGCCCAGGGACACTCTGGGCAGCAGCAGAGGTGACCGTCAGCCATGGTTCCCATCTCTCTCATCAGGCTTGCAGCCCTTGTCTGCACCCTGGGCACTCCTGGAGCAGGTGGTACCCCAGGTCTACCCGGCACCACCAGCAGGTATGGCACCCCTCTGCGCTGGGACAGGGAGGGAACCTGGAGGACCTTATTGATGGGGGCTGGCTTGGTGGATGCCCCTGGAGGGTCTTCCCCAGCACAGCTCCCACTCACCCCCACAGGGCTGCAGATGGCTCCAGGCAGCTGCTACAACCCCAGGGGCTTCCATGTGCCATGGGCAACCAGCACCCTGCCCACACCAGCCACCTTCATCCCTGACGAAGACACTGCTCTTATGCCAGATGCTGCCCTGTGGGGCCCTGGGGCCTACGGGATCTCCCTGGCCTGGGCAGCCCCTGATACCCTCCAGCAAACACCCTACCAACAGCAGGGCAGAGCTATGACACCAGCCTCCTGGATTCCGTCCATCTCCATCCCCATCCCCATCCTCCACCACAACCAAGGACAGACTGCACTGTTCACCAACTGGGGCATGGCCACTGCCATGGGGGGGATGCCCCTGGGCAGCAGCATCCCCCCCAGCCCTTCTGCTCCCCACCAACAAGACCAGGGGGACCCAGCAGACCAGTCCATGGCTGAGAAGCTGCTGCTTGAAGAGGCCCTGAGGCTCCTCGATGACTCCGTGGATGTGCTGGGAGCCAGGCAGGACGGTCCCAGCAGCAGCCCCAAGCCTGAGGATATTGGTGACACTGGCACCGCCATCGCCGACTGGGACTGGGACTCCGTGTCACTACCTGAAGAGCTCCTTGACCTCAGCTGCAGCAACCCTGAGTCCATTGAGGCCACCCTGGCCCTGGACAAATTCCTGTTTGGGAATGAGGACCAGGAGCTGTGGGGGGACACAGAGATGGCCCTGTCACTGTCCCAGACAGACACAGCAGAGCCACAAGGGCAAAGCCCCCTGTCACTGCCCCCCAGCAGGGCAAAGACAGATGGGGATGAGTGGAATGGGTGGGGTGTAGGAGGAGGGGGAGGCTGGGGTAGGGTATTTTGGGAGGGGGAGATGAGGGAGAAGGGGTGAGGTACTTAGGGGGAAGGAGGTGCAGGGCAAGGTTGGGATACTTGGGGGAGCAGGGGTTGAGAAGGTCATAGTAGATTTATTGGGTTCTTTTCTCCTGATTTTGTCCATTAAAATCTGTTTCTCCATGACCACTCTGTGCCTGTGTGGGAAGGGAGGGAGCACAGCCAGCACCGGGAAATGGCATCCAAGAGGTACCAAAGCCCCACTGAGCCGCAGACCCAAGCCCACAAACCTCAAAGGGCACTGAGCTGCCCACCAAGACCAAGTCAGGGGCAGGCAATGGCCGGAGGGACTCCACTGCTCCTGTCCCCAGGGGAAGCAGCCCTTCAGGGCCCTGAAGGACTCATGGATATGGCCCCATAGGACAAGGACAGATCTCACAGGGCAGGGACTGACACACCACAACAAGGCTGCAGCACCTTTGCCCTAAACACCACCAGCATTCCCCCCCTCCAAAAAAAAACCCACAACAAAAAATCACAATTAAAGCCCTTCAAAGCCTCCAGACCATCGCAGCCTTCCTCTGCTCCCACTGCACTCGGTCCAACAGCCCAGCTTTGGCTTGCTGCCATCCCAAAACCACCCCAAATCCCCCCAGGAATGACAGGGAGGCAGCTGTAGGCCAGGCAGAGACTCGCCTCCCCTTGCCTGGCTGTGTCTTGGGCAGCCACAGGACCCGGACAGGGGAAAGAAAAGTGAGAATAAAGAAATCTCTGCAGCAGCCAGAAAGTGCCTGAAAGCTTCATTTCTCTTTATTGCCCATTTCCCAGCCTAGCTCCACAGCTTGGGGTCAACGCAGCCAACAGCACCTGCGGGAAGCAGCTTCCCTTTTCGGGTCTGGCTCACAGAAGGCAGGGGGTGAGGTCCCCGTCGGGGCCATCCCCAGCAGTAGGGGGTGGGGGTGTTGAGCCCCTTCCTCAGGGCAGTCCCAGGGATGCCACTGGCAGCCGCTCTGGACCCCGGCAGGGACGGTCCCAGTGGCACTGGCACAGCTCCCGCTCAGCGTCTCACCCCACACGCAGGCCCGCCCCGAGCATCACGCTGGACACAAACCTCCTGTCCCCTGCAGCAGTGGCACTGCCTGCAGCTTGAGAGCAGGAGGAAAAGAAAAGAAAAGAAAAAGAAATCCCCAACCCCAACCTTCGTGGAGCCTCAGTGCCACAGGACGAGCTCTCCTCTCCCAAAGCTGCTGCAGAAGCCCTTGGAGCCATCGGGGCCACGGGGCAGGCGAATCGCCCCATCCTGCAGGCCGAGGGGCTCTGGCACCCCCTTTGCTGTTGGGGGGGTGCCCGGAGAAGGTTTGGCATCAAGAGAGGGGGAGCTGCTCCCCCAGGGCGTCCAGGCGCCCACC